CATTTGAATATCAATTCCAATATTTAAACACTAAACCCAGAATTTGGACGTTAAATCTAGACATTTCTCGTTAATTTTCCACTATTTAATTCATTTCCAAGATTTCGTGATTATTTTCTGTATCCCAGCACTCATACTATAGTTTACATATATAGGCCTTACATCCGTAGATTATTATATTAGTGTTCTTCACATCTCATACTTCAACTTACATACATTTTTCATAGATTTGTGATAGCATAGAATGCAATTACAATGCAACAGCTCCCACCAGGCATATAACGTAAAAATAACGTTAATTAAACGTGATTTCAACGATATTCACGTTTTTTTAACGTCATTTCCCAGGATGGAGAGTTCATTTCAAGTGCTGCAGAGCGCAGCGCCCTGAGATCGTCTAACTTGTGGTTGGAAGAAGCGAATTTTATCGCACTAAGTTCTTTGCAACGTAAAAAAACTGTCGACATCAAAGACGATTTAAATTCATGGGAATTTTACAAGTGCTCTGGGCTTGGTGTAGTTCACTGAATGTTTGCATCCAACTTCCTCACTCAAAAAGTTTTTGGACAGATTTGATGGAGTTGTAGAAGCCGTGCTTCAACATTTAGAAATTAGAAAATCAACATACGGTTGTTGCTCATGAAGCCATTATGATGAACTCCATCTCGAAGACACTTATAGACATAGAAGTTGTAGACATAGAAGTTGTAGACATAGAAGTTGTAGACGTAGAAGTTGTAGACATAGAAGTTGTAGACATAGAAGTTGTCTATGTCTACATAGACACAGAAGTTGTAGACGTAGAAGTTGTAGACATAGAAGTTGTAGACATAGAAGTTGTAGACATAGAAGTTGTAGACATAGAAGTTGTAGACATGGAAGTCTTATACAAAGAAGTTGTAGACATAGAAGTTGTTGACATAGAAGTTGTAGACATAGAAGTTGTAGACATAGAAGTTGTAGACATAGAAGTTGTAGACATAGAAGTTGTAGACATAGAATTTGTAGACGTAGAAGTTGTAGACATAGAAGTTGTAGACATAGAAGTTGTAGACATAGAAGTTGTAGACATAGAAGTTGTAGACATAGAAGTTGTAGACATAGAAGTTGTAGACATAGAAGTTGTAGGCATAGAATTAGCAGACAGAAGTTGTAGCTACACTATAGTTATATAGACATAGACGTTATAGCTACCTGTGAAACCCAATACATATGTAGGGCATATAAACATTTAATTTTACTTACATACATATATCTGTTGTTATATGCAATTCCGGAGAGACAGCTAGATTCCTCTTTTACTCTGGATGGAACGATAGATTTTCATTTAATTGTTTCTCATATATCTATGATTGGCCAAGTGGTTGAGATCATTTTGATTCGAGCAGTGAGTTGCGGGTTCGAAACCCGCAGCTAGCTGTGAACAATTGGCCGAGTATGGAATCACCGACAAATCAAAATATGAATTCATCTTCTACGCTGCTATATCATTAAGTTATATTATTGAAATATATTATTTATGCATAGCATTTTTGATACTTAAGAGAGTGTTATAAATAGTGGCCAATATTAAATTATTCTTTTATAGATATTTTTCCGTTGCTCTTTCAATTGATCTTTTTTTGAACTCATCAGTCTCCATTTTATTTTTAATTTTTTACCGTCTTTCTTATTTTTTATTACGATTAATTATTCCTACGATTCTTTAGTGTATTAGTTTGTAAAAATCTTCTTGTATTTATTTACAAAATAGGTTCCATGCTGCCATACGTAAACACATTATACAAAATACGTACAAAATACAGCTGCTGCTACACATATACACAAATATCTTTCCCTCATCACGTATATATTTCCCTTAATTCTTTTCCCTGACTGCACATCATTTATTTCTGCCGCCCCTACATCGTCGCCCTCACGTGCACGTCTCTGAGGGGCGCACTTCACGTGACGCGTGGCGCGCATCTCTCGTCACGCGCACGTCACGTGCACGCGTCACGACGCATGCCGCTACGTCGTGCACGTATTGCACACAACAACATTATAGAATTACGTGCATTAACACGGTGATATTACGTGCATTAACACGGTGATATTACGTGCATTATCACGGCAATATTACGTGCATTAAGACGGCAATATTACGTGCATCAACACGGTAATATTACGTGCATTAAGACGGCAATATTACGTGCATTAACACGGTAATATTACGTGCATTAACACGGTAACATTACGTGCATTAACATGGCAATATTACGTGCATTAACACGATAATATTGCTTCCGTAAATATTGCAATAGGGAAATCATTGACCAAAAGTCGTTGTTTACCTTAGAATTAAAATCAAAGGTGAAATTAGAACAATAAGGTTAAAATGTAGCGTATTCTTTTGCAAGTATTTTGCTTTCAATGCACGCTGATGAATTTCACTACACGCTGATGAATTTCAATGCACGCTTATGAATTTCAATACACGCTGATGAATTTCAAATCACACTGTTGATTTTCACTCGACGCTGATAAATTTCAGTCCACGCTGATGAATTTCAAATCACTCTGATGAATTTCAAATCACACTGATGAATTTCACTCCACGCTGATGAATTTCAATGCACGCTAATGAATTTCAAATCACTCTGATGAATTTCAATACACGCTGATGAATTTCAAATCACACTGATGAATTTCATTCCACGCTGATGAATTTCAATGCACGCTGATGAATTTCAATGCACGCTGAAGAATTTCACTCCACGCTGATGAATTTCAATGCACGCTGATGAATTTCAAATCACGCTGATGAATTTCACTCCACGCTGGTGCATTTCAATGCACGCTGATGAATTTCAATGCACGCTGATGAATTTCAATGCACGCCTGATAAATTTCAAATCACGCTGATGAATTTCAATGCACGCTGATAAATTTCAAATCACGCTGATGAATTTCAATACACGCTGATGAATTTCTCTACACGCTGATGAATTTCAATGCACGCTGATAAATTTCAAATCACGCTGATGAATTTCAAATCACTCTGATGAATTTCAATACACGCTGATAAATTTCAATGCACGCTGATGAATTTCAAACCACTCTGACGAATTTCAATACACGCTGATGAATTTCAAATCACACTGATGAATTTCACTCCACACTGATGAATTTCAATGCAAGCTGATGAATTTCAATGCACGCTTATGAATTTCACTCCACGCTGATGAATTTCAATGCACGCTAATGAATTTCAAATCACTCTGATGAATTTCAATACACGCTGATGAATTTCAATGCACGCTGATAATTTCAAATCACTCTGATGAATTTCAATACACGCTGATGAATTTCAATTCACACTGATGAATTTCACTCCACGCTGATGAATTTCAATGCAAGCTGATGACTTTCAATGCACGCTGATGAATTTCACTCCACGCTGATGAATTTCAATGCACGCTGATGAATTTCAAATCACACTGATGAATTTCACTCCACGCTGATGAATTTTAATGCAAGCTGATGAATTTCAATGCACGCTGAAGAATTTCACTCCACGCTGATGAATTTCAATGCACGCTGGTGAATTTCAATGCACGCTGATGAATTTCACTCTGCGCTGATGAATTTCAATGCACGCTGATGAATTTCAAGACACGCTGATGAATTTCAAGACACGCTGATGAATTTCAATACACGCTGATGAATTTCAATACACGCTGATGAATTTCAATGCATGCTGCTGAATTTCAAGACACGCCGCTAACACGCTTATAGCAGTTCTCCACGACCGCAACATAACACAATACGAAATTCAGTAGTACGTGCTTCTTAATTGCACTTTATGCTCTAATGTCTATTAATCAATATTCATTATTGTCAATCATTCAATCAATGTTAATGATTGTCTATCAATCAATGTTAATCATCGGCTATCAATTAATATTAATGATTGTCCACCAATCAATATTAATGATTGTCCATCAATGAATGTTAATCACTGTCTATCAATCAATATCAATGATTGTTTACCAGTAAATGCTATTGATTTGCTATCAATCAATATTAATCATTGTCTATCAGTCAATGTTAATGATTTTTTATCAATCAATGATAATAATTGTCTATCAATCAATATACAATAACAATTCATGCAATTATTTCTCTATTGCTCCTTAATACACACACACAGCACCACATTACACGCACACAACGACAACATGAACTCTCAATATGAAGCTCTCTAGCACAACAATTTAGGCTAAAATTGTTTTCAAAATGCGCCTGTAAAACAATCACTATTCGTACTTATATCGTTAGTCTGTTTAAATCGTAACTTCATCAAGACTATAGAAGGCAAAGAATATGAAAAGTAACTTCATCAAATCTTCAATGAAAACATCATTTTTATTGACGATACGATATGACTTAACTTCGCGTCTTTTTCGCTTTCAAATCCCCAACAGTCTGATATTCCCTAAGAACTCCTCTAAAACAATCACTATTCATTTAACGCACCAACTACACAACACACCCAACAACACTCGTATATTCCCTCACTAAGAACAACACACGCATAACTCGTGCGCCACGTGAGGCTCTCCAACTCACGTGTCTGGGCCGTACATAGCAGCGCCCTCTGTTGACGCCACGTGGCGGCAGGCGCCCAACAAAGCAATAAGTGATCCTTAAATAAAGCTGTGTGATCAGCTATTAAAATCTATTAAATGGAAGCAAGTCTATTGAATGCGGAGCTGATCCAATGGTTCACACGTGACTTTAAGAGCCTAAGTGATAATGATAAGTGATATAAATTTATAGTTAATGATAGTCATGAATACGCAGGATTAATGTAATGATCAGTGCGAAAGCAGTGTTAAAGTATTCTTTTGCATTATACATTGTTCCTCATAATATTGGATTTTATTATAACATTACAAAATTCCAGTTTATTGGATTTATCACCATTTTTCACTAAATAATAATATTTCTACCGACAGGTTTGGTTCCAGAACCGACGCGCCAAGTGGCGTAAGTCTGAGCGCCTCAAGGAAGAGCAACGCAAGCGAGACTCCGGCGCCGGCGCAGCGCCGGACGAACACCCCAACGCCGGCGCCGATTCTGCGCAGGTTATGCTCGATATTTGCTCTGTGATTGAATCTTAATGTTTCCATTAATTTATTCTTTAAGTATCCATTTAATTTCCCCCAATTTAATGTTTAATATCCAACATTATATTATTTAAGTACCTCTTTATTAACCATTACTTTTTTCTTTAATTAACCTTTGTCAATTATTTTCATTTTATTTTAGAGTAACTCTTAAATTCTCAAAAGTTCAATCATTAATTGACTCTTAAATATCCGTAAATTTACTATTTAATGAATTTTTTAATATACAATAATTGAATCCATGATTAATTTTATAATATCCATTAATTAATAATATCCATTAATTAATAATATCCAATTGGATATTAATATCCATTAATATGCAATTAGCTCTTTAATATCCATTAATTTACTCTATAATTAATTAACAAATATCAAACAATTTAGCTTTAATAACCTTAATTCTACAGAAATTCAGCTCTATCCTCTCAACAATATCATATAAAGCGTACAAATAAAACAACCTAGCGGGAAGGACGCTAAAAAGTCGACGTTTCATTGTTCCATAAATGTTATAATAACTCAAATATTCGCATTATATAATTAGTGAGGTTTAATACTTTTATTTTACCTATAAACTTATTTTGTGTTGAAAAAACACATGGATAACTTATGAGAAACTGGACAGGGAGAGAAAATTATGTTCCTGATATTATTTATTATTTTGTTATTGGGAAAGTTTGTTATTGTTATGTACAAATTATTATTAGGAAAGTTATTGCTATTTACAATTAATTATTAGGAATATTATTGTTACTATATTTCATTAACACAATTATAATTAATATTAAAATAATCAATGGTGGTGCCAGCAGACTGGTGCAGGTGATGATGTGGAGGTGGAGGCTGAGGGTGATGACGATGGTGGTGATGCTGGACGTGATGACGTGCGCATCACCGACGCTGAGATGTTACTTCATCACCCTCTTGCGGTGCTCACTCACCAGCATCACCTGCATCACCACCACCATAACCTCACCAGCACCGCTGACAACAGTGATGAAGGTGATAGAGTCATTGTTTGTTTATTTAATAATATTCACTTATTTTATTTAAAAATTATAGAAAATTTGATCAAAATTTTAGAATTATCATGAGATTTTCAAACAATTTCAGCATAAAATATCGTGGTTTTTAATGTTATCGACCAAGAAGAATGTTTTAATGTTATATCTCTCTGAAGTTATTATCTTTATATCTCACTGAATTAATAATGATGATGTACTAATATAATGCATCATTCTATTTATTGTACTAAATTACTCGCCCCTCCCCCCCCTGTCCCCCACCGCTGAGGGGAAATCGACCCCCTCGCCTCCCCATAAAACTGAAAGGTAAGCAAATTCCAAAGCAAAACTTTACTGTAAAAATCTTCCTTACAAACTGTAGTAAAATAATTTCGTAAATAAGGCATTTTTTTATTAAATTGTGATCTATGTGAAGATAGACTAATACACTAACTTTAAGATGTAAATAAAATATCTACAATCTTATAAATGATTTAATAATCGACCTGAAATATTCGGAGAAAAGTAGACTCAGTTCAAGTATTGTTATATATATAGAAGCGCTTGACATCACAAACACGCATGTTACCTACTTGGATACTACTAATACTTGGATCTTACTATTCCCCTTTATTATTACGTATTATCATCTTTACCTTGACGAAACTAACGGATATAACAATTAACGGATTAATCGCCATAAAGCCTCATCTCTTTATCCTGCCTAAGGATTTTTGAAGCTGTTAAGCGGAGCGACAGTCAGTGTCTTGATACTGTAAAGGATACACACTCGGGTATTATTATTCAGATATTCAAGCATTCATACACTCTGGTATTCAGACACTCTGGTATTCAGACACTCTGGTATTCAGACATTCGGGTATTCAGACATTCAGGTATTCAGACATTCTGGTATTCAGACACTCGGGTATTCAGACATTCTGGTATTCAGACACTCGGGTATTCAGACATTCAGGTATTCAGACACTCGGGTATTCAGACATTCAGGTATTCAGACACTCGGGTATTCAGACACTCTGGTATTCAGACACTCGGGTATTCAGACATTCAGGTATTCAGACACTCGGGTATTCAGACATTCAGGTATTCAGACACTCGGGTGTTCATACATTCTGGTATTCAGACACTCGGGTGTTCATACACTCTGGTATTCAGACACTCGGGTATTCAGACATTCAAACAGTTGAAAGACATTAAAGTGACAAGGCATTTGGGTTTCTTTATATTAATGTCATTGAAATAATAAAACATATATATTGGTTGTACATAAAAATATAGCTTATTTACATTTTATGTTTTTTTAATTGGTATGTTTTATATGAAGCGATTACGTATATATCACGACAGATGATTAATTATGTAATGACGATCCTAAATGAAATACGAAGTTCTTATACCATTTTAATTATTAATCGATAACTTCACTGTTATCATGAAAAATATAAATTACCAATTCGATCATCATCACATAATATATGCATACAATTTTAATGTATGCTCACAATAGATAACAAGTGATAAATATATAATATACTAAATTAGATTTTGTAACTATTACATTTCCTTGACAAGGGATCCTCATTTTTTCGAAATATCTTCATAAATTATAACATCATTATTTAAATGCTAATTTTTTAATAAAAACCGCCTGCTTTTATGAAACAAAGATATTAGTAACTAATTATGTGCTTGATGATAATAAATAATTTGAAACCACGACCTTTTTCACTAAAATTTAGTGAGAAATTTAATTATTGGAGTTCTCCAATTTATCATGTTTTCTTTGTTAGTTACATTTAATTAAATGTAAATAGAAAGTTAAGCGGCTTTTTTCAATGAATTAACCTCATTTGCCGAACTTTAGGAGTGTGTTGTTTGTTAGAACCAAAGTTGAAAAATATAGCGACGAAAATAATTGATTGAATACTTGAAGTTTCGCGGAATGTCGTATACATAAAATTAACAATTCCTATTCAATTAACACTGAAACCCCAAATAAACAATTTTTTTTCATCTTTTTAGAATTTTTCAACTGGGATGATCTAAAATTCAAAAAAAAGTTTTCATAGTAAGAGTTGGGCCCCGGAAATGAGTACTAAAAAGCTTCATTTTGAGGGAGTGAAGCAGGTCTCTTTAGCCTGCCTAACGATGCTTGAAGCTGCTAAGCGGAGTGAAGAGTCGGATAGACGCTAATTAGAGTCAGCGTGACGTAATTACGCCCCTAAGTTTGTTCATCAGAGGCAGCGACTGATGCTCGTTGCCGCCGTAATTGGCAGCCTTATTACAGCGGCTCCAACGCTGCCATTGTACGTTATTTCTTAGCCGCAGGGCCGCGGCCGCTACAGCCGCTACCGCGGCGGTGAGGCCGGCGTCGCCGCAGCGCAGCGCTGCCTCGCATGCCGACGTGCCGGTGTCGGCGACGGTCTGCCCGCCAATCCTGCGGCCCTCCGGCTTCGTCGGGGCAGGGCTTGGCTCGTCGGCCCTAGGAGGGGCGGGTCTTGGCTCGTCGGCCCTAGGAGGGGCGGGTCTTGGCTCGTCGGCCCTAGGAGGGGCGGGTCTTGGCTCGTCGGCCCTCGGAAGTGCCGGTCTTATCTCTTCTTCCTTAGGAGGGCCAGGAGGACTTGGCTCATCGGCCTTAGGAGGGGCGTGTCTGACCGGCCAAGGACTGGGCGGGACCGGCTTGAGCGTCGCCGGCATCACGGGATCATCGTTCGTCCCTCATCTATTCCCCTCATTGTTAGAGAGGTGAGTCGTGGTGACTCAGGCCGTCCGCCCCTCACCACGTGCTGCTACACGGCCTAATTAAAATTCCTCCACTTGTCTCATTGAAATTACTTAGGCCTATTGGCTCAATCAGCAAACTTTCTGCAGCGTGGGACTTTGATAGGAGGATGTGATACTTGGGCCCTCGGGCCCCTTACATCGCTGGCTCTGTTAATGGAGCGAGATTCCCTTAAGTCCAAATGCTTCGTTAACCTTAACTTGAGCTAACTGGGAAAATTAAACAACAGAGAGCTAATTAAACAACGGTGAGCTAATCAAACAACGGATAGCTATAAAGTAATAGATTAAAACTGAACGATAGAGAGTAAATTAAACAATAGAGAGTAAATTAAACAATAGAGAGCTGATTACACAATAGAGAGCTGATTACACAATAGAGAGCTGATTACACAATAGAGAGCTAACGAAACAACAGAGAGCTAATTAAAAATAGGAGAACTAATTAAACAGAAGAGAGCTAATAAAGCAGAAGAGAGTTAACCAAACAAAAGAGGGCCAATTAAACAGAAAAGAGCCAATTAAACAACAGAGACATAATTGAAGAAAGATGAGCTATTATTATTGTACAAAAAGTTTATGAAAGTACAGCTACCTAATTGAAGAAGAAATTATTACAGATCATATAATTTTATTATAGACCATAAATTTTTATTACAGATCATGAACTATTATTGCTGATCATTTATAAATCTGATCACATAATCAAATTTGTTCCAATATGTTGTATCTAATCGCAATGTTGATCAATGTTAGTTAATCTGTGCGCGAATAATTGATTGCATTGATCATTAGTTTTAATTGCTGCCAAATCTAATCAAATCTCATATAACGTAGTCGATAAAATTATAAATAAAACTTATTAGATTAAACATATATTTGGATAAAAGTTTAATTTTTAATAATTTCTTAAAAAAAATATATATATATATTTTTATAGCCTTGCTATCCATGCTTGGCATCCAGCTTATGTTATGTCCAGCTTTTGATTATGTTGAGCAATTATAGGACGTTAGCCCAGATTTTCTGATATCCCGTCATCCTGAATTCCTGAATCCCGTTAATAAAAACAAATTTAAGATAATTAATTGTTTATCTAAAAACATCTTTCAAACCCGTTTTTTTGTTCTGAATAAGAACTCAAATTTTACTCTTATTCCAAATAATAAAGAAAATAATAATATTTTTCATATTAAATTTATACATGTCAATTTGAAAATCAATAAATGGTAAATTGGCCACAAACGCGCCTCTACAGATGAGCCCAAATTTCATACAACCTATACAGACCAATTAAAATATAAATTTTCAAATAAAATATTGATGACGGTAAATCATTTACATAAATTTGTTCAATTGAAGTTTACGGTTAACTGCGCCAGTTTCTCACCTATAAAATTAATAAAAAAAATTTAACGGCATGAATTTACTTTTAGTGATTTAAATCTAGTGTGTATGCTATATATATAACGGTATATGCAACATATACTGTACTGCGATGTATACTGGGAATAAATCGCCACACAGTAAATCACATCAACAACGGGAGCTTCGCAGTTACACTGTATACTGTATAGTGTATAACTCATGTATAGATCATATATCAAACACAGCACTTGTATCAATAGATCATAAACATTAATATGATACTGAGTCTTCGGGTAGCGATGCTCAGTACATAAATATTCTTGAGTCTGTTATTATGAACATTTCTGGAAATTTAGTAAGGAGCTTAAAATAATGATGATAATTATAAGGTAGGAATATAATGATGATAGTTATAATGTAGGAATATAATGATGATAGTTATAATGTAGGAATATAATGATGATAGTTATAATGTAGGAATATAATGATGATAGTTATAATGTAGGAATATAATGATGATAGTTATAATGTAGGAATATAATGATGATAGTTATAATGTAGGAATATAATGATGATAGTTATAATGTAGGAATATAATGATGATAGTTATAATGTAGGAATATAATGATGATAGTTATAATGTAGGAATATAATGATGATAGTTATAATGTAGGAATATAATGATGATAGTTATAATGTAGGAATATAATGATGATAGTTATAATGTAGGAATATAATGATGATAGTTATAATGTAGGAATATAATGATGATAGTTATAATGTAGGAATATAATGATGATAGTTATAATGTAGGAATATAATGATGATAGTTATAATGTAGGAATATAATGATGATAGTTATAATGTAGGAATATAATGATGATAGTTATAATGTAGGAATATAATGATGATAGTTATAATGTAGGAATATAATGATGATAGTTATAATGTAGGAATATAATGATGATAGTTATAATGTAGGAATATAATGATGATAGTTATAATGTAGGAATATAATGATGATAGTTATAATGTAGGAATATAATGATGATAGTTATAATGTAGGAATATAATGATNTCAGTTACTTCCTCGACTAATTACCTCTCTCAGTTACTTGTCCTGCCCATCTTCAGCATTAGATATATGCTTGTCCTCTGAAAACCTAGCAGAAAATTCACATTTTATTTCGAAAAATTATATTGGAATTTCTTCTAACAAGTAGGTATTCGAGAAACCTTCTTCAGAGCCATTTAACATTTCTTATAAACATAACTAGAAAATTCAAAGTTCATGAAAATCACTCAAATAGTTACTTGTTAAAGTAGCGAGAAAATTCTCACCATCCTTACTTCTTCCTCTCCCTCTATCACTCCCTCTCTCTCCCTCCTTCACTCCCACTCTTCCCTCTCTCCCCCTCCTCCCTCTCTCCCCCTCCTTCACTCCCACTCTTCCCTCTCTCCCCCTGACCCACTCTTCCCACCCACCCACCCTCCCCCCCCGCGGGTGTCCACTAGACCACGTGTCCCCTCGGGGCTGCGGTGCTGAGGGATTAGCATGTAAACAAGAGGCTTTATGAGTGGCTTAGGTGGCTTAGTGACAGGCCCTCAGCCTTAACAGCTGGCTTACTGGCTGGCTTACTGGCTGGTTTTCTGGTCATATACCGACTGGCTTACTGGCTGGTTTTCAGGTCATATACCGACTGGCTTACTGGCTGGTTTTCAGGTCATATACCGACTGGCTTACTGGCTGGTTTTCAGGTCATATACCGACTGGCTTACTGGCTGGTTTTCAGGTGATATACCGACTGGCTCACTGGCTGGCTTACAGGCCATACATACCGACTGGCTTATTAGCTGGCTTGCTGGCTGTATTATCGTAAGTGACTTTGATGGCTTAAGTTGATTTATCAAGCCATGGCTCATAAAATAAAAAACAATGATTCATCATTGGTTCACGTCAGTTACTGACTGATAATCATCCCAATGATGTCAATAGTTTTGAAATAAATTTCCGAGTTTCTCCAGAAAGAAAAATATATTCTGATGCGTCATGTGAACAATGGAAATAATTTGCTCTTAACATATTTCTTAATATCGAGAGTTTAGTGAAAAAATAAGGTTTTTTAGAAATGGAATCAAATTTCTAATTATTTTTAAATGATTGCATGATATTTTTTCAAGTTTAAATGTTCTAATTCAACGTTTCTGTTCCTAATAGTTTTATATATTACTTATATAGATTATGAAAAAATATTCGTTCATTGAAACTTTGCGTTGAATCTTGATTGCCAAGGCCCTTTGCAATGATATTTTCGCATAAATTTCGTGTTAAATATTACCTTTGAATTTTGACAGCAAAACTTTGGGTTTAAACTTCACGTTGGAACATTGCCTTGAACTTTGCACCGAACTTTACATAAATACGTTAGGCTTTGCGTTAAAGAAACGAAAACTAAAGCAAATGGGCGAATAGCGTCTAAAAATTCGATATTTTCATCATATCATCGCTCTAAAATAATGTTCAACACGAGAGTTGATTTTGAATATGAGAACAAAAGTATCCATATACCGCATTGGTTGAATTTACATAATTAAATTTTGCGAGTTATACATGCAGCTAAAATCATTATGGGTTGAGAGAGTGAGGAGGGTTGAGAGAGAGGGGAGGGTTGAGAGAGTGAAGAGGGTTGAGAGAGTGGGGAGGGTTGAAAGAGTGGGAAGGGTTGAGAGAGTGGGGAGGGTTGAGAGAGTGGGGAGGGTTGAGAGAGTGGGGAGGGTTGAAAGAGTGGGAAGGGTTGAGAGAGTGGGGAGGGTTGAGAGAGTGGGGAGGGTTGAAAGAGTGGGAAGGGTTGAGAGAGTGGGAAGGGCTAGTGAGGGGTGAGAGGTGAGAGGAGAGGGCTAACCTAGTGAGGGGTGAGGAGAGAGGGCTTGCCTAGTGAGGGGCGAAGGGAGAGGGCTAGTGAGGGGTGAGGGGTGAGGGCTGGCCTAGTGAGGGGCGAGGGGAGAAGGCTAGTGAGGGGTGAGGGGTGAGGGCTGGCCTAGTGAGGGGTGAGGGGAGAAGGCTAGTGAGGGGTGAGGGGTGAGGGGTGAGGGCTTGTTTTACGCTGGTGTTAAGAGCGCTATGATGAGCACAACACATGTTAAGGGAGGCAGGGGTGAGGGCTATAACAAGACACCCCAGCGCACCGCTGATCTCCCCACATGGACCACAGATGGGTTGCTGAGGGAGCATCCCTCTGTAGCTGCTCCTGAGGACGGATTAATCTAATTGATTTCTTTTATCCATCAAAATTGATGCCACCGAAAGCTGTTCAAAGAACAAATGGAGTCCGCAAGCCTCGCAACTTGCGCTTCAGCGGCAAATAATAACAAGAACTTGAGAAAGTTTTTGGTAAGCGAGTGAGTTAGAAATTAAAAATATTGATAGAACCCCATTATAAAAAAATAATAACAAGAACTTGAGAAAGTTTTTAGTAAACAAGTGAATTAGAAAGTAAAAATATTGATAGAACTCCATTATAAAAAAATAATAACAAGAACTTGAGAAAGTTTTTGGTAAGCGAGTGAATTAGAAAGTAAAAATTTTGATAGAACCCCAATATAAAAAAATAATAACAAGAACTTGAGAAAGTTTTTGGTAAGCGAGTGAATTAGAAAGTTAAAATATTGATAGAACCCCACCATAAAAAATAATAACAAGAACTTGAGAAAGCTTGTGGTAAGCGAGTGAATTAGAAAGTAAAAATTTTGATGGAACCACAATATAATATAAAATAATAACAAGAACTGGAGAAAGTTTTTAGTTAGCAAGTGAATTAGAAAGTTAAAATATTGATAGAGCCCCAATATAAAAAAGAAGTAATAAGATGAAATTGAGAAATGTAGTTTGTGAAAGAATTAATTGAAAAGTAACACAATTTATAGACGGCTGGAATGGAAGGATTTAGTTTGGATTGAATTAAAGAAAATAAATTACGAAAAACATGAAAAAATTAAAATGGGTTAGAAAAGTAGTAAAATTTATGGACAGACGGACGGAAAAGATAAAAAAATCTATGGAAAAAGAAAGGAATTTCGGAGTGTAATTAGTTCAGTAATAGTTTGTGGTGGTAATAGTTTATGATAAGACTTGACCTCATTTTTCTATTTGGAAAAACTTGTTGATCGATTACACTTTACTATTAATCCGTAAAATTATTTTTAAATATTTAAAACTTTATTGGGATAAATCATCCTTGCTCGTTAATTATGACTAAATTTACAAGTCATTATGCATGAACATATAATAAAATCAAAATGAAATTAAAATTTTTTTGTCTATTAACATATTTCTGGACAAATATCTCTAAATCTTTTAAATGTCTCGTAATTAATTATCTTTAAAAATAAAAATTATAGCGCTTATATAATAAATAAGTAATAACAACCGCACATAATAAATAGATAATAATACGCTTATATAATAAATATTTGATAACAGGTATACATAGCAAATACATAATAATACGCTTATATAATAAGCATATAATAATTCGCTGATTATATTCGACGCGACTTGCGCGAAAGTCTGCGGAGTTTGACCCTGACATTTAAATGTGTTCACGCTCATGCGACACAGCTGACGAGTTCTGAAGCACAATATTATTTAATAAATTATAATTGATTTTGAATTTTTGTGAATAAATCTTCAATGATTATTAGTAGATAAATCGACGTTAGAAGTCTTACGAGAAGAATGCCGTACATACAACAATGAGGACAAAAGAAGTATGGAGGTAGAGTGAGAATTTCTACAAGCTGTTTCATTACACTTTCATTTCAGTTAATTCATCTGAAATTGTCAATTTCTCTATGCTTCGGTAATCGCTCAAATTCTAATCTCTTAGTTTATGTATTTGAACAGGAACAAAGAAAGCCATGCAGAATCCAATAATAACAAATAGAATTCCAATCAGAATAATGTGAATATGAATTATTTCTATAATAAAATCCATATAACTATGGAATAACTACATAAAAGGTTATCACATCGAATAGACGTTAAATTTTGAATAGAATAGAACTAATAGATGAGTTAAGTCACCATTTGTATAGAACTAATAGATGAGTTAAGGTGAACTATTGGCTTGGCTATGTTACCTGTTACCGGTCTTGTAACGGAGAGGCTCAACAGGAAGATATACCATGTAACATATAAGAAGATATACCATATCATGTAACATATAAGAAGATATACCATACCATGTAACATATAAGAAGATATATTATGTAACAAGTCATAGCTGAAATTTAAAAGCTGAGAACAACTAGGACCATCAAGATGAAGATAAATACGTTTACATTGTGAACGTATTTAAATTATTTTTAAAGCTTTTAGAATACGTTCAAACATTATTCTCAGAGCCAAATAAATATATATAGGAAATAATGCCAACATTAGTGAAAAAAACTTACTCGACATGTACCATTGTATCAGTCTCTATTAAACCACATTACGCTTTTAAAATGTTTCAAATAGCTTTCATAGTTTTGATGGTATCAGACTAAAAAATTCCCAACTTCAAATGAAAGCTTTCGATTATAAATTCGCAATTCATGTTTTCATTGTTAAATGCTAACGTAAGTATATTATTTTAATTGATGTTCATCAAAGCTGCACAATATATGCCGCATAAGTAAATGTTTTAAATCATCCTAATTTGAAGGAAGAATATAAGCGACCGGGAAGCTTCAAGAAGAACAAGCAGCACAGGAGTAGGCTGAGAGCAATCGGCTTAGGCCTATTTAAGCCTTCAAAAAGCTCCTCTAAGGCCAGCCAAGCACTCTTCATTGGACTTGGTTGTTCTCGCTGTAAGCCTGGCCTTTAAAGTGAATCATTGGCTTCAAACAACGCGCTTAACAACGACCCTTTGTAGCGTGAGGCAAAAACGTGTCTTCGTATCGCGTGGCTGAACAACCAGCGCCGCTATAACGCGCGGCCGAGTGACGCTGCACCGCTATAACGCACGGCCGAGTGACGCTGCACCGCTATAACGCTCGGCCGAGTGACGCTGCACCGCTATAACGCACGGCCGAGTGACGCTGCACCGCTATAACGCACGGCCGAGTGACGCTGTACCGCAATAACGCGCGGCCGAGTGACGCTGCACCGCTATAACGCGCGGCCGAGTGACGCTGCGCCGCTATAACGCGTAGCCGAGTGACGCTGCTCCGCTATAACGCACGGCCGAGTGACGCTGCTCCGCTATAACGCACGGCCGAGTGACGCTGTATCTCAATAACGCGCGGCCGAGTGACGCTGTATCTCAATAACGCGCGGCCGAGTGACGCTGCGCCGCTATAACGCGTAGCCGAGTGACGCTGCACCGCTATAACGCGCGGCCGAGTGACGCTGCACCGCTATAACGCACGGCCGAGTGACGCTGCACCGCTATAACGCGCGGCCGAGTGACGCTGCACCGCTATAATGCCATCATAGCGTTGGTGGTGTAATTAATTTTTAGCATATTTCATCGTAACAACTTGCAGCAAAGTTAAGCTGCTACGTCTAATGTGTGTAAGCTTCTTGCATCGCTTTTGGAAATGTGCCTTGAGGAAATAAATTGCAAAAAATTTTAGCACGAAACCTAATTTTAGATAATAATAAAGTCTAGAGTTTTCCAGTCATTGAACATCATCAGCTAGTGGAAAATTTATTTTCCTCTCAATCCATGCAATAACATGCGTCTGATTCCGTGATAAACACTACATAATACAAGCCGAAAAATCTAAATTTTCTTAGAATTATATAATATTACAGGTTATAGAATGTTACAATTTGTTAATAATCTACTGAGCCTGTAATTAATGGAAGAAAATAACCTAGTGACTCAGCCATTAATAGATTGAATAACCTAATGAGCTGCCATTAATGTATCGGTGTCTCCATCGATGTCCGTGGGAGCAGCAGGTTCAGACCCTTGCTTGAGCGCTCGTCTGGACTCTTCTTGGGGCATCATCTCCACAACCCACTTACGACCCACCTCTTCCCCCACCTCAAAGGTGAGTCAATATACCCACTCACGACCCACCTCTGCCCCACCTAAAAATCGAAATATAAAGGCCAAATAGAATAATCTGTCAATAAAATAATCAAATTAATTGCTAAGTAACAAAGTTGAATTGCCAATATAATTAATGATCAGGGACATGATAAACTGGAATTATATCTAATAAATAATTAAATTCTGAACCTTCCATATCTCATGATGACAATAACAAAAGTGTCATTTCCCCAGGTTTCCCCGGCTTGTGTGGCTGTTGCCCCACCAAGCCACCATCGTTTTCCCCTCTTCCTCCCCTCTCACCCAGCACTAGTAGCCAGGCCTCCCCTCTATCCCCAAGCCTATCATCTCTATCCCAATCCCTCGCGGGTGGGGAAAGCTCCCCATGTTTGGCATCTCTTTCATCCCACTTGCATTCCCCTCTGGCCAGCCACATCGCCGCTGCGGTCCACCATCACCACCAGAATTCTGATCTTGCCACTCACAACAACCGACAACAACCAGGGTTGGGGGTTACATCGGTGGCCTCTTTGTCACCTTTGTCTCCCAACAACAACAACAATAACGAAATAAACAAGAACAACAACAACAGCAGCAACGGTGGTTCTGGAGATTCCAAAGAAGAAGCTAGTAGTGACCCTAGAACTTCGAGTGTTGCAGAACTTCGTCGTAAAGCTCAGGAACATTCGGCGGCAGTTCTACAGAGTCTGCAGGCTGCATCTCTGCATTCTCTGCATCATCAGCTGCAGCAGCATCATCTGCATCAGCAGCAGCTGCAGCATCAGCAGCAGCAGCAGCAGCACACGCCGTCGATCTTGAACATTGAAAACTTGCTGAGGAAAAGCGTGTCGCCCCCGACGCCTTCTGCTTTAGGAGGCTCGGCTTCACCAGGCTTGTCATCAAGCAATAATTAAAAACATATTGTAAAAAAAAAGTCAATGACTACAAGGCAAATCAATATTAAATTCTTCAAAATAAATCAAATAATGACGAAGAATAATAATTGATCGACAAAAATTAAAATATAATCAATTGATCGAATCATAAAATAACGAGTAGACAAGTTTGTAATTCACGCCGTGGCCAAAGTCCAAACTTCGTTGCACTCATTGCTCTCATGTGGGTCATCCTGACCCAGTTTGGCTTGGCAAAAGAGAGTATCAGTGCTAGTCGGATCTTTATTCGTGCTGTGGGTAAGAAAGTGTGGCATTGCATGGATAATACGCTCATAAAAATAAATGTGTATTTTTTTCCAAATAGTGAAACACTTCCTGCACGTAGCACGGATACGCATTTTTTCTGGGCAAACTGATTCAGGGCGACTCACCCAAGGCAAAATGAATCGCTATTTGGACAAAGTCTCGCTCACATCTCTGAGTGTATGATCCATTCAACGCAGCAACAGCGCAGTCTTGCCGGCTGTATTCGTTTTAATGAAATACGACGCTAATTTTGCGGTAAGTTTTGCATGCCGGTGAGAATTACAACCTGGCGCTGCGTGATAACATAATTAGCCATAACATAATTCCCGCGGAATATAGAGCATGTACAAAATTTTTTAAGCGTGAACTTCACCCCCAAAAAACGGGAACTGCAAGCACAAAAAACATGAAAATGAATTTATTGTTAATAAATAATGGAAATAAAAGCCGGCAAGATGTTCTTGGCATGGTAAGAGATATGTTTGGCTACCAAATATTCAGCAGAGCCTAAGTAATTAAGTGCTAACAAATTCAGTCTGTTGTCTTATCACAACAAAGATATTCTGATAATGAGCTTTTTTTAATTCTCAGTAACAGCATATTTTCTATATCTAAGATTGTGCTAGAATACCAATGATTACTTGTAATATAAAATAATTGCGTCAGAGATGCATGCTATCTAACTAAAGCATTCCGTGAATTTATAGGCCAAAGTTTATGCTTATGAGATCATGCTGGCACAAAACGGAGTTTTTATGATGGAATAAACTTAATTATATTCTCCATTAATAATTTTCTGTTGATATCATGATTCATGATGCTGACCTCGATTCAACAGCTCGATTCTGTCAGGCGATGATATAATTTTTCTCCTGGGAATTCAATGATATTTTTCGTTTTCATACTGTGGGTGAAAAATGTGTCACTATAATGACAGAGTGATACCATTTAAATTATGAGTGTATGATGGGTGTAACGTTCAGTGAATGTTACGGCGTAATATTCAATAAAATATTATATCCCCTTAATTCGATTGATTTTTTTGTGGGGAAATTCCCAACGTAATCGAGTTTCTAGTCACAAAATTTTGGTTTTCATATCATAAAAATATCACAAAATGTCTTTGTTAATTGAAGTACTCGATCATATATGATCATATATTTAAGTCAATAATAAAGTTTGTAAATCTTTTTGTCGGGGAGTTTGTGGATAATTTCCCGTAAAATTACCTTGGGATTTAATATGGTTAGCAGGTTAATCTATGTTGACATTTTAGTTATTATTGATTCCTTGGAAACTACAAAAGTGTACTTTAATCCACATGTTAATATGTTCATAATAGAAATAAGTAAACTATGGTTAAATGAGTCAGGTAATGTGATGACATCATTTTCGTAACCAAGCTCTGTTTAGTATTGTAATGTATAAATAGAAGACCGTTATAACTTCGGTTATCCTTCGAATAAAAAAGTTGACTATAGTTTTACAGTGACAGGTTAATTATTTCAATATGGATGAACACATTGATACAATTTTAATCTGTTAAGAAGCTTTTCATGCGAATATTCGATATGAGATTAGCATGTGGTCAGTGGAAAAACTCTACTTTAATTTAAAATATACGCAATATTCAACCTCATTCCATCTATAATAAGCTGTCTAAAATCTAGTTATACATGATCTCATTAAGCTTAGGTTAATCTCTGTTCCTAATAAAAATCTATGTTGTTGATAGTTAGTAAGCGAGAGAAGACGTAAAAAATAATTACTACATGCATGGCATTCAAGTCCTCAGGAACAAGTTGATAAAATATTATTAATTGCGAAGTTTATTTCTTTCAGTACGAACGTTAAAGCGGTATTTTTTTTTACTTTTACATATTGTTTTGTATGTACGTTTGCGGGTTCTCGATATATTTACTGTGTCTGTCAGAAAAGAAACGGGGAATAGGTAATAATAATTATAGTCTCCAGGCAAATGACGTTGAGAAAACGCTGATTGCCATTTGATTTTGTTGAAAAAACGTTTTATTAACGTTACTTCCTCGTTCGATGAATGTTGGAACAATTGTCTATCTTAACTTGAACGATAGGATTACGATATGGGCTAAATTGTGCAAAAAATAAAGTGCACGGATCTGCCTAATTACATGTTACTGACTAAACATTAAATGCGTCGTATTCCATTAAAAACATCTTTGAAACATTAAACATTAAACGTCGTATTCCATTAAAATAACACTTGGTAACCGGCTTTTTGATCTCCCGGCGCCAGCAAGACATTTTGCTCGACTCATTGACAAAACAAATAAGAAGATTGTTAATTAAAAGCAAGCGCTGGTCTACAATCAAAATTTCATTAAAGAAAGATCTCTGTCAAATTACACCAAGTCTCTGCCCAAGTGCACGTATATAGCTGCGGATTTCTCGTCTGTGATTGGTGGGTTTAGCCATCAGTGATTGGCTAATAAGTTATGAAAACTATTTTTGAGAATACGTCCACTGCCTCTAGACACCATTTTCATCAGCAAAAACAGGTTCAAGTAATTATTTTTACAGTTTGGCCCCCAGGAAGAACGATATTTTAAATCTTGATTTAAATCATTTAATTAATTAAGTGAAATATTACATAACATCACATGTTACGATCCCAATTAAATAGCTATTTGTTAAATATACGCGCTATGTATACATAGTTTTCCTCATTATCCTTCTGTGTACCCAAGACTAGCTATAAATTCCATATTAATAAGCTACGTTACAAAAATATAAAAAACTACGACCCAATTACGTACGCACTTAATTGCTATCACTTCAAATTCACGAGTTAATAAAATGTGAAAATTTAACATCAGAACTTCAATCATACTTTATTCATTTGATAATCATCAGTTCGAGATAATTTATTATTTCAATAATGCAAAGGAAATTAGATATGGATGAAAGAGAGAGGAAATATAACAGTATTTATAACAAGTGAAATATGACGAGTGATTTGTTATTAAGTGAAATATCCAAATTATAACTGGTCATTTCAAAACATTCTGATACGTATATATATAATAGACGAGTGGATTATTGAGAAGGAAATTATCGTGTATACAGAGCCATACTGCTCCATATACTGCATCATACACTGCACCATACACTGCGCCATACACTGCGCCATACACTGCGCCATACACTGCGCCATACACTGCACCACACTCTGCGCCATACACTGCGCCACACTCTGCGCCATACACTGCGCCACACACTGCGCCATACACTGCGCCATACACTGCGCCATACACTGCACCATACACTGCGCCATACACTGCGCCATACACTGCGCCATACACTGCGTCATACACTGCGCCATACACTCATTATCAGCTATTAAGGCTCATCTATCGCGCGCCGCTCGACTGCTCCTTCCGAATGTCAGCGAAACTTCCGTGAAGAGGAGAAGAGGGACAGGAGGGAGAGAAGAGGGGGTGAAGAGGAGAAGAGGGAAGAAGGGAGAGGAGGAAGAAGAAAAGGGGTGAAGAGGTGGTGGGTGGAAGGCTGGAGAAGAGAAGAAAAGGGTGAAAGTGGTGGAGTGGAGAAGGAAAGTGATACGAAGAAGAGAATTAACACGACGCAGGAAGACGTGAAGAAAGTGAAGGAGAAAGGGAGACTGGGAGAGGGACTCTACTGAAATAAGGAAAGATGAAAACAAATGAATAGGAGAAGAAGAATGGTTGAGGGAAAGGGTGGGGGGGAAGGGGTAATTGGTAAATTTTCAGCTTTTTGCCTTCTTTTTCCCCCAACAGCACTGTAACTTGTAAATATCATTACAGACACACAATTAGACATATAATTGCACGTGTATATAATTTAAGGCAGATATAATTTGTATGCACATAACATTAAACAGACAACACATCGTCTTCGGTGGTGTCTTCAGCCTGCTCCATTATATCCTGATACTCCATGTGCTCCACCTGCCTCATGTCCACCCTCATGTCCACCCTCATGTCCACCCTCATGTCCACCCTCATGTCCACCCTCATGTCCACCCTCATGTNGTCTGCTGGTCCCGACGATCGATTGCTGCCTCGCCACGCCGCGCGTCTTGACGCTGATTAACTGCCTTCTTAATCAGTTGCTTAGTGGAGCAGTAACTACTTAATGGCCCGCCCCTGCAACTACTTAATGGCCCGCCTCTGCAACTATTTAAAGGACCGCCACTACAACTACTTAATGGATCACCACTACAACTACTTAATGGACCGCCACTACAACTACTTAATGGCCCGCCCCTGCAACTACTTAATGGACCGCCACTACAACTACTTAATGGCCCGCCCCTGCAACTATTTAATGGACCGCCTCTACAACTACTTAGTGGACCGCCACTATAACTACTGAAGGCCGGACACAGCAACTTAGTTACCAGTTCGGCCAAGTACTTGCAACTAATATACTGATACAAGTATAGACATTAAAATCATTTAAGTTTGTCTTGTCGATTAAAATATAATCTAAAGCATCATTAGACTCATCAATAGTAAATTAATCTCACTCACCCGGAAACTACATATTTAAGAGAATAGTTTATGAGATTCTTTTAACACTATAGAAACCGATTACAGTTTATATTTTATAGAGGTCATGCCCCAATAATAATTACGAAATTCCTTCAGAAACATGGGAATAATACTGCATTTGTTTGTTTACTTTGTTTATATCCTCGTCACAAATGTCACGTGATTCTTGCCTCAAAGCGAGCTTCAAGTTAGGGTAAATTATAGTCCTGTGAATCATGGTAAATTAAAATATAAATTTAATGTAAATCCGAGCTAGGGACGAAAGTTGCCTCCTAAAACTGATTGGAGTAAATCATAAGCGAGTGTTGAGGTCACCCCATACATAAGTTAGGGAAAAAATCATTAGCGAGTGACTCAATCAAGTTACCCATATATCAGGTGATGGTAAATCATAAGCAAGTAACTCAAGTTCAAGTTACCCCATATATCAGGTGAGGGTAAATCATGAGCAAGTGAGTCAAGTTACCCCAAATATCAGTTTAGGGCAAATCATAAGCAAGTAAGTCAAGTTACCCCATATATCAGGTTAGGGCAAATCAAGAGAGAGTGACTCAAGTTACCCCATAAGGACGGAAAAATGATCCGCCGGCTGCAGTGGCGTTCACTAGCAGTAATGGCGGGGCTGTCAGTCTTGCGTCTGGTTTGTTTTAGACACGCCGAATTTGCGGCGTTTGCAGCCCGTCCAAGGAGCCGAGAAATTCCCTCGGAGGTCCGCAAATGCGCGTTGAGTGCAACAAATAAGATCAGCTGGCGGAAGCTTCAGCAAATAATGCACTCGCGTTAACGTCAATCTTGCTCTGGACCTGACAATTACCGAGCTACCTCGATCTGTCGGCCCGCGTTAGGCATGGCAAGAAGAAGGCTAAAAAAGTGAATAAGGCCGTGCACACCTCGATCTGTCGGCTCACACTGAACGATTCCGTTAATTCAACCTTAATATATTTAAATTCTGTATAAACTCACGAAATACTTTAATTCTAAAAAGCGTATGCAGAAAGTACGTCGTCAGCTACGCAGGCATACGCTGGGAACATCAACGGACAAGAGGAAAATAATTACTTGGAGAATATTTCGGTTATCGACGGGGCAGACAATTGTTCATTAATCGAAGGAAGGGCGAGACAATGCGCACAACTAATATACTTTTATTTGTGGACGCTGCACTTATTATTGAAATGAAGGACGCTATAATTAACAATCCGTTAGTGAAAATCTACGCAACGTACACAATTATTAATAATAGCATGGGATGGCAGAAAACATTTTTTTACTGAAGACCTTAAAATATGAATTATGACAGTTTTTTTTCAATGTATGGAGCATTATTTTTTCGATTGCGTTGGTAAATCGACAGTCACGTTACATAAAGACATATAATTTGTTAAAAACGCTTCGAATGAATCGCCAGTAAATAATTAAATTAAAAGCACACAAATGCGTACAGTTGCACGCAACTATATGAAGTTGCGTGACAATGCAAGACAAACGTCACATTCACTATTCTCGACAGTCCCATTCACGCGCGTCACATTCACTGTTCTCGTCAGTCACATTCACTATTCTCGCCAGTCACATTCACTATTCTCGCTAGTCACATTCACTCTCGTCACATTCACTATTCTTATCAGTCACATTCACTCTCGTCACATTCACTATTCTCACCACTCAACAAGTGTGCGTGTGTGTGTGCGTGGTGCGTCGGCTGGTCGTAACGCGTAGTCTTATGCACAGCGAACGAGTTTTACGACGCGCGCTTTACGTGCAGTCGCACATGCATGCCAATTCACGACCACTTCTCATGAAGTAACCATCGCCGCCGCAACGTGAGCCAAATTTCAGCTTTACGACCTTCGCCTGGGAATTACAATTCTTTTTCACTTCCATATTTTATGGATGTTTTTTTGGCGTTTCACTTACATTTTTTTAGAATTTAGATTTGTTTCACTGCCAAATTTTGTTGATATTATTTCATGTTTGTTTAGGTGCTCCCAATGCGAATGAGAATCGAGTTCTCATGTTTATGTGGCATTTACATCAAACTTATCGCATTTCTGTGGCGATATATATTAATAAAAAGCTTTCGGATCTGAAAGTTTATAGATATTCATGCTTTTAAATGAGTATATTGATTTGAATTGCTTCAATTAATGAATATCGGTGGTTTATCCATCAATTAAAAGCTCAGAATTCATTCAATTGTAGTCAGATTATTACTCGTACTTTATTCAGCAAATCTGCAGGCCCGTGATTTTTCTAAAACATTTTTTGTCAAATTCACACATTAGAATTATATGCTTAAATCTTAGTCGGAATTCGCCGCAAGGGCTTTTCAGTTGTGATACTATATACGTACGTAAGTGCATTACAATAGTGATGGTCTACGTCTACAAGAGCATCACAATAACGACGGAGCATCACAATACTGCTGCTCCAGGGCACGATGCTCCATAAGATCATATCAATAGTGCTGCTCCATAAAACCATCACAATAGTTCTGCTCCATAAGGGCAGCATCATAATAGTGATGCCATATCAAAATAGTGAAGTACCGAAAACTTTCATCCTGCGGCAAACAAAAGCAATTCCCTGCTCAGCGCAGCGCTCGACGCAAGAGCCACATCCATGCCATTTGGCCGCATTTTGAAGCCACTTTTGTTCATCCTAATTGCGTTGAAGCTCAGAAGCCGGCGCCTACAGTGACTTAAATTCAGCCTCTAAATTTAGCGTAAGGAGGTTGGCAGCAGTTAGCGTCGCGAGTCGGCTTAGGGTGTAATGGCATCCTGCCTTATTATGACCACTGCCTAAGGTGCTTACCAAGATCCCCTTTATTCGTAAAAATACCATTAAGCTTAGGGAGCTATCAAGCCCCGAAGGAATAGCATTAAGCTTAGGGAGCCACCATGTCCCAAAGGAATAGGCCCACAGGCCTTTGTTCTTGCTCGGCCGTATGAATTCGTGGCCGTATGAAGTCGATCTCGGCGGCTATGCTTGTAGGACCGATCTTGAGTCAAGCTTCTGGTAGGAATAGCATATAAAAGCACCGACATCTGGTCGGTATTCTATAACGTGCACCAACCATCGAGGAAGCGATACCTCGGCTGTTCAGGAAACCGGCGCGATCGTTCTCTATGTTAATGGAATTACCCTCATTATGGTTGTATACCCTCAGAAATATGTAATAGCTGAGGGCAGTTAGCCCCAAAATTTGGTGCACACATGCCGAGGACCTGACGAGGGAAAGAGGGAACGAAACTGGCAAGCTGCCCAAACTATCCTTTACGGTAAGTTTACTTAACGTGGGCCTGGGAATAGAGACGCAGGATTTATTATACGAAACCACCGCCCCCTATAAATACAAAATACAAAGTATAATAGAAGCATTAAAGAGAAATCATTTCAAAAAACAAGCAAGACATTGAATAATAAAGCAACAGAAATAAAATTAAGAAATTAATGAAAGGAACCTTTTCATTGTCAGCAGCCTAACAATTCGCTGCACGAGCAGCATCAGTAGCATCATTGAGCAGAGCGTCAGCCACACCAGCAGCAGCAAGAGCAGCAACAGGATAATCAGCAACAGCAGTAGACACAGCAGCAGCAGCAGAATCATCAGCAACAGCAGTAGACACAGCAGCAGCAGTCGTGGGACTGACACGTGGGACTGACACGTGGGACTGACACGTGCGACTGACACGTGGGACTGACACGTGGGACTGACACGTGGGACTGACACGTGCGACTGACACGTAGGACTGGGCATCATCAGTTTGTAGGACTGCAGCTTCATCATCAGTAAAAAAAATTTAGAGGTTCTAGACCAAGTTTTTTATGGTCTTTGATCCTTTTGGGCTATTGGGAATTAATCTCATCCATTTAAATCTGACCTTTGTCTATTGATAGTACTTGTATCCTCAAAAAATTTGATCCGATGCCGAGAAGTTTTTGATGAATATATGATGAACTTACCAGGTTTTCCTTTTATTGCAAATTCTTGATGATTACCGTACCATGGTATTGTGAAGTGATATTAAACCGGAAAAAGATTGTCAGGGATCGTGATCAATCAATCTTCACAAATTACTACAGTACGAGTAGTGAGTCAATTGCC